GAGTGCACGGCGTCTGTCGCGCCTCGAAATCGGGTTTTGGGGCGTGACAGATTTATTGGTATCAGAGCTTAGGTTTGATTAAGATTTTGTGATGTTAGAGTCTAGGTTTAATTAAATACCTAGGATTTGTTTTGGACTTGGCTAGCCAATGGATCTTAGAACCGTGGTGAGACGAGTGATGGGGTTATACAAGGGACGATTTTGATTGTAAACGTTGGTGAAATTGATCTAGTTCTGGAACTTTTAGTTGGATGATAAACTGAGATGATAATGATAAATCTGGAATTTGTGTTTGGGGATTTTAAATGCTCTGTTGATAAAAGTTCTTGCAAAATTGATTGACTTAGTTTTATGGTTCCTTGTGTCATTGTATCTTCTGATGAGGTATTGTGCTTAGGCTCAAATCTGTTTTGCGTTTAGGCTTACCGTTTTGGGTGTGTGATGAAGAGGGACTCTAAGCTTTTCAGCACCTCCCCTCTTCTTCCACTCCGGAAATCATTTCCAATTCTTGATGCTTTTTGTTCTCTAAATCTCCAGTTCCCTTCAGTTTTTGGAGTGGTTGATGATTTTAGTGTCTGTGTGAATCTGCTTGTAAGCTTCTGTTTTAGATTTAAAATAAGTTATTTTGCATTTGTAATGGTAATTAAACTGGTTCGTTTCTCGTGTTTCAATCGTATGACTCTGGTTCAATACATCTGTTTGATACTTGATGATTTTTGAGTGGATAACTTGATTTGCCTGTGTAATGAACTTAGATGTGAAGCGACAATGATCAATAAGGAATTTTCATGTTCTGACGGAAATCCTTATGGGATTTGAGTCTATATGTTATGTGTGTCCATGTCATGCTAGTGTCCAAGCTGTGGTTGATACTACTTAGTTCTGTACATATCCAAATGCTCTTGCAGGAAAGGAGATAGTGTTTCACACATGAGTGAAATTTTTTTCCTGCTAAATAGTCTACCCAATATTTTTGCCTAGACTTGCTTCTAGATGTTCATACCTGAAATTGTTGGTTTTAAGCTCATTTTTTGCGTTGTTCTAGGTGTGTTTAAGGCTGATTGTTCCCTTGTTTTGGTCTTAAATTGTTATGGAATTTATACTAAACTCTGGTTTGGAACTACCTAAATTTCTGAAAATTTCTAGCTCAATCCATATGTAATTGATTTGAATTCTGGCAGCCTGACCTGGGAGTGGTACTATGTACATCACTTCTTGTGTAGATGTGGATTAAAGCCATTCCTAGTTTTATAGAAAGCTAAGAGATAGAGTGTTAATTTTCCAGTTAAGCATTCAAACCAGTTCTACCATTTTCAAGGAGAAAATTTGGTTGTAATCTTGGTGTTTAGAATCTGACCAGTATTTTGCCCTTTTATTCAGCTGTTTTTGGGTCTGTTTTGGGCAGATCCTCTATTTTGTGAGCATAGATTACGACTCTTGGTAGCTGTAATTGAAGTTAAAATGATATTTATCTGGTTAACATGATCCTAAACTAAGGCTAATGCAAGAATTGGGCTTAATTAAGAAGAATGCTTAACATGCAATCTCAATTATGAATTGGCCTATGGCTAGGCTATAAGTCAACGCTGGATTAAAGCTGAGACTACATGTTGGACATATAGATATGGCTTTGGAAAGTTTTAATTGATGCAAGTTAATGTGTTATTCTGCTGTGATTTAATATTGAATTGTCCTGCTATATCTAAAGTACAAGCATGACAGTGCATAGAGTGCTGCATATATGAGCTAGATAGAACCCGGTTGTTGGACTGAGAGTGTGAAGACGGATATATTTAGAAATATCCTTATTTTGTTATATTGATTAATTCTAGTCAATTGAAATGTTGATCTGAATGTCTCGATCATATATCGTAGGTATATCTGCCCTGATTTTATTATGGTGTCATTTTTGGGATTCTTACCCATGACTTGTGAGGGGTCTAATTCTTGACTCTGTTAATTGGTAAAAAAAAAAAAAAAAAATTTGTCTCTTGATTTTAGTTGCCTATTTAAACATGATTTAATTATTGATTAACCTTGGGTTGTGGTTGGGAGTGTCTCTGCACTCTGAACTCTGGTAAGAAGTTACATCAGTATGAGGTCCTCTCTTGGACTTAAAATGTGATGAATTACATTTTGATTTATTGATGCCAAACTTAAGAAAAATAGCAACCTTGTTACCTTTTGAAATTAACTGCAAAATTCTGCTCTTGTCACAGTTTGGTTAGGTCCTTAGGTAAAATGTAATTGCTGTTCCATATCAATTTCTAGCTATACTTGCTGATTTTCAAGGTAAATTATGTTGCTTGAATTTTGATTCACTTTGATGAGATAGTAATTCAGTTAGTTCCTGTTATCTGCTATTGGTGAGGATTTTTGAAATTAATCTTTACTGACTATGCCCTTAAGACCATGTTTGAAACTTGGTCCCTTGTGATAGTCTGCTTGGTTTTGGTTGTGACAGGATGTATAAGGCCTTCCACATAAGGTCTATTTGTTTGAGTATCCATTTGGGCATCCATATATGAATGCAAACATAGACATACATGAGCATATACACGCATACATGCATGTACACATGGGCATTCATGCATGGGCATTCATGCATGCACACATAGGCATTCATGCATGCACACATGGGCATTTATACATGCATGTGCATAGAGGCATTCATTCATACATGCATATACATGCATTCATCCATTCATGATCCTATATATCCGAGTGATGCTTATCCGTCTCGGATAAGGTCCCATCTTTTAGTGGTACTCATCATTAGATTCCTTGCCATATTGTTGTGTTTGATGAGTACCGGGTATTGATTTGAGTCAAGGGCACCACATCATCACGCCGATAACTCTCGAGTCTAGTTACTTGTGTTGAGGCGTGAAGTTATCTCCTGCTTCCCAAATGGCCATTAGGGAGGGTGGAGATCAAGATTGTTGTTGGCTTGTTAGAGCAATGATGAGTATTCATTCTCTGTGAAGTGGATCTGACTATTATACCTTTGTAATTGTTAGCCGTGTAATTGAGATTGATTTCCTTGTTATTGTTGTTGTGGATGCTAATGCTGCTACTTATTTTGTGTTTAAAATTTGGTGCGCAGAATGGGGTCCTTGTTTAGATTGTTTAGTTTGATATAAATTGTCATTCTAGAGTGACATTTGTTTTGTCTTCAGCCTGACTTTTAAAGTATTTAACCAGTTTTGTGACAGCTATCCAGTTGTTTCTTTGTTAGAAATCCTTGTTGGTTTACTTGCATCTAATTACACCTACAAAGAGTCCGGCCATGAAACCTGTAGAGCCATGATGTCCTTCTAGAACTTGCCTTGTTTGTGGATTATTATTAAGAATCAGTGAATGAAATTGTGCAAAACCCAAACCATACCCTTTAGGTTTGCAGAACATTTGGGTGGTTATATGCCTCGTGTTGTGCTCCAGTGTCCTTTGCCACAAATGAAGGAGTTGTTAGCTCAGGCGTCTTCTCTAGGACAAAATGGTGCTTTTAAGGATATGCTTGAGATGGACTATTGAGCACATTTTATCCCTTATTGGAAACCTAATCTTTTGGACTTTGTATATATGTCCCCCTAATCTAGGGATTTACCTTTGATTTTGTTATATGCTGTTTCTTGACCATTAAGACTATGAAGGTCTCAAATTTAAGTTGGAGTCTCCAACCCCAAAATGGCTTTAGTTTTCTTGATGTTTTATCCTAGAGCTTGGAATACATTTAAGTTACTGGAATGTAATGTTAGTTATAGAGGCCATTATTGGAACTCAAATTGTATGCAGGAAATGTTCAGATCCTCCGTAATTCCTTGATTTGATTTTGCTTAATTCTTCTAAATTCTTAATTCAAGTTATATCCTTGAAAACATCTGGCTAACCAAATTTATTGCAAAAATGGAAAATTTGTCCACATGGATCTTTTTTTTCTAAAGCATTTTCCTAGGCTTACGCTAGCACTCTTTAAGAATTTCGAGCTATTCTTTCACAAGCTACCCATTGGGTTGGAGGCCATGATTTAGGTCTCAATTCGACCAACGTGTCAAAATTCATGTCATGCCATTCCTTGCCAGCTCGTCTTGGTTTTGGGTTCATAGCATAGTTAAGCTATTGTTCCTGTAGCCTTGGTAAGAATCTGATCTGGGTTTCTTTGGAATGCAAATTAATTCTGCTCTATTCTGGTTCTGCTCTGTCCTTCCAGCATTCTGTTTGTGTGGAATTTATGGTCTCTGATTTTGGTATGACTTTTTCTGACTTGGAAAAGATCTAAAGTTTGATTTGGGGTTCATGACCATGAAAAAGATTTGAAATATTGATTGATTGATTCTGCACTGCTATGGCCATATGATGGTTGTCATATGATGGGTATTAGTTGTCTTAGATTGTGTGAAGCCATTCACCAGTCTAAATGATTCTAGATTTGAGTTTTGGGGACAAAACTCCTTTTTAGGAGGGGTGGATGTGATACCCCAAAATTTCTAGAGCATCAAGTGAGAGTTAGGGACTTAATTGTGAAGAAATACTATTAATGAACTTAATGGTAAATTTTCAAAGTTCAAGGACTTCAAAGAAAGGAAATTAGGATAAGGATCAGCTGATATTTTTCTTCCTTTTCTTCCCAGCCATACACGTTTCTG